TATATGTATATGTATATGTATATGTATATGTATATGTATATGTATATATATATATATGAAATAAAGCTCTCTAATGTACTGTAGATATTTAATTTAGAAAAGCATGGTGCAAACAAGACAGGCAAGGTATATGTTTTTATTTCATGTATTTCTCAAGGTTTTCAGGTGAAATATGCAATTTTCTCCTATTATCCTTTTTATCCAGAAGCCATCTTAGAAGGAAAGTTAGGCAGAGCAACAATGACTAATATAAAGTGACCCCATTTTCAAAACTGTGAATTAAAGTTTCCTGAATTCCTGAGCCAAGATACTAAACATTATACCACCACCCTAGGCTCTGAGCTGCACTTACCATTCAACTTACCATGAGTAGGCCTTTATAGGCATAAACGATGCCAAGCCAGATAGTCATGTGAGTGTTTTCACAATGCTCCAAAATAGGAAGAATTGAAATATCTCTTCCGGCAGGGTCGGGCTACAAGGGGATACAACAGAACAAAAGAAAGGCTGTTGATATTTATTTCTTTAGATTTATAGGTGAGGAAGATGATGACTGTGGCTAGTCTGAAGAGCAAAAGCCTGCAAGAAATGGAATTAAGGTGGAAGAAGGTTATTAGATTGTCTCACTACAATATTCAAAATGTACACCTGTCAGATCATTTTGGGGCATTTTTACTACAATTCTACATATATGAACTACACATATTCTCTTCTATGGGAAATCATTTTCTTTTTTCATATTCATGTGGGTGGGAGGGTAGAGAGAGAGAGAAAATGGTTCACCTAAGCGATTGTAGTCTGATTGTTGGAGTGGGTGGGTAGGAACCATCTAACTCCTATACAGTGTGACTTTTATTTCCCTCAATCTGTTTGCTTAGTCATGGGTCGTTGTTAGGGTTCATTCATTTAATGTTACAAAAGCAGACAGTTTATCCACAAAAATACATGACATCTTTCAGCAAAAATCACCTACAAAGGAAATGATGAAAACTTCTGCATCTAAAGTGCTAAAGAAAAAGAAAAAAAAGAAATGAAAGAATAGTCTGGAAAGCAGAGACCTGGAGCTGATGGCTGGGGACCAAGAACGTGGATGTTTTTATTTACCTCCAAGATACAAATGAGACACATATCTCTGGGATATAATTGTATTCCTATGCAAAGATTTCATACTATATAGATTAAAGAAACTGGAGAGGGCATTGTAAGAAGGATAGAGATGTTATTTAATCAAATAGGACAAGAGCCAGGTGCCTTGCACTGTAAGAAAAATATTGCACATTACTATAATATTAAATTAATGAAGTACACATCGAATATAAAAATAAACAAAATAGTTTAATAACATCCAATTACTTTTGCCATATCATTTTGCCTTTTGATTTTTATTTATAAGCAACAATATTCTATGTACTTACAGAGGAGGTGGAATAAAATAAATCCTTGTCTTGATCTTAAATGTGTATCTGGTCAATTTTAATGGACAAATAGCGCATTTTGTATTAAAAATCATTAGCAGCTTGCATGTTGCACACCATTAATACTTTTCTACATTGTGCTTGTATGTGCATTTCCATTAATATCCAGCTAAAAGGCTATGGATTGATTTAGATAAGGCCACACTTAGAACAGATCAATCTAAATAAATGGGAATTAAACTAGGCTGTAGCTTTTTTGAAGTATAACTTTATTTCAATAAATTACACTTGGCTGTAGCTTTTTTTTAAAAAAATGTAACATTATTCCTGTCCATAAAAGCAAAGATTTATTTATTTATTCAATATGAATGCTATGTAACTCCAAGTGACTTTGGACGGCTCACAGCATAAAAATAAATAGACCTCAGCCTACAATCAGTTGAATTTACAACAGACACCCCTCCCCCCAAGTACTTATGACCCCATTTCAAAGTTATGGCCATTGCAGAACCCTTACAATCATTTTCCTTATGACCAACTGCAGAGATGCTGCAGGGGTCCCTCCACCTATCTCCCTCTACCATCCTTCCCTACAAAGCTTGGACCTGCTGTGATGACCTGGGGCATGGCACAAAGGCAACACAGCCCCTTTATTATCTTCAACTTTGTCTCCAATGTCCAGGTTACCTTCAACTGGAGAAAAACTCTCCCAGGAACAGCCTTTAACTGGAGAAAATTCAGTCCAAAACAAGGTACACACAAACTGTAACTTAAAATCCAAACAAACCAAACTGAAGTAATTAATTTGACAAGGCAGGAGAAGGAATTTCAGACTTGAAAGCATGGCAAACCTCACACAATTGGGAAGATGCCAGGAACACAGGTAAGCCACGATGATATAAGATAAATTCACGTTTGCTCCCAACAGCTTGCTGTGTGCAGTTTCCCTTTTTTATACACTGTGTTCGCAGCTGAAGCTAATGAAGGGAGTCAGGGCCCTTCCCCTCCCGTAATCCATGCAACCCACATTGCTCTCTTCTCCATTTCTCCCTGCATGCCCTAGGATGAAGAAGGGGATGGCGGGCCTGGGTCTTCCTCTGAATTCCCTCTCCCATGCTCTCCCTCTCCCCTGCTCTGCCCAGTCAGACTTTGCCCTTCCCCAGTTTCTCCCACAGCCAACAGAGGCACACTCCTACTCCCTGTCAGCTGTTCGGCTTCCTCCTCTGAGTCAAATTCCAACGGGGCATGACACCTGCTTCCCCCCACACACTGAGTCCCTGCAGGGCTTGGGCTTCCTGCCCTCCTCTGTCACTCATCACAGTTACCTTTTGAAGATTTCCAAGCTACGAACCTCATGTTGAGGAAGAAGGTAGGCTACTCCATCCCTCAGCATTCCTGGCAGGGCAGCCCAGGGATGCTGAGAGAAAGAATGGCCTGCTCTCATGGTGGTCCAGAGCTCCAGAGATCTTCAAAAGTTAAGTGCATGATCAGTGATGAGGCAATGGAGGAGGCGTAAGCCTTGCGGAGATTCAGTGTTGGGGAGAAAGGCTCCAGTGGGGAAACACAGACCTCCAGAGACCTAGTGGGAAGGAAAGGCCTGCAGGACCCAGTGGGGGAGGGAGAAAACTGTGGAGATCCCAAGGAGTGGGAACCAGAACATAGGGTGTCTCAGGGGGAAATGGAGGACTTGGGAAGCCTATAGCAGGCAGGCCTGGGATATACTAGGTCTCCCAGGGTCTCTTCTACCCCTGCGGTATCCTGTGTTCTGTTTTAGATCAGGGAGATCAGTGTTCTGTTTTGCATCAGGGAGAGCAAGTGTCCTTCCTTAATGACCATCACTGCATGTGACTGTAAGGGGCAGGTTCCATTATGGTTGTAGGTTGAGTACTACCAGTATACAAAAAGCAAGATGGCAGAAGTGGACAACAAAACCAACATATTATTTGCTCACAAGTAAATATTCAAATCCTTCTAGCCCAGGGGTGTCAAACTCAAGGCCTGGGGCCCGGATCCGGCCCGCAGAGTGCTTAGATCTGCCCCATGGGGCCACCCTATAAACAGCAAAGGACTGGTCCGCAGTGCCTCTGCCAGAGAAAATGGAGCTTGGAAGGCCACCACAGGCACCCCCAACATTAGTGATGTTGGTCTGGCCACACTCACTCTAGTCACACACACCCTGCCCCCCCAAGGTCAAACACAATCCTAATGCGGCCCTCAATGAAATCAAGTTTGACACCTCTGTTCTAGCCCACTGCCTGAGAGAACAGGTTCTCCAGAATGCCATCAGTGTAGGAGCTACCCAGCTCTTAAAGGACCTTCTTTCCATAGAGTAGGCACCTTGACAGAGAAGAAATGCTTCTGGGTTCCTGAAAGGCGGAACTATTTGGTTGAAAGAACCTGAAATTCATCATCTCTGTTGTATTGAACTGGTCAAGCTGATGCTGTGGATGATGAGTGATCTGTAAAGTAAACAGGCCCTATGCTATACAGGGCTTTATAGGTTGTAACCAGCACCTTGAAGATGATTTGTTTTCAGCAGCACAGCATAAGAATGGATTTACATTAGACTATTAAAATTCCTATTTTTCTACAAGTATGCATAAGAATGGATTTACATTAGACTATTAAAATTCCTATTTTTCTACAAGTATGCTGAGACAAGCACATCATCAAGTAACTATGAAGGTTTCTTGGCTGTGTTATGTATTGTAAATGATCTGTCATTGCTTTTTTTACAGAATACTTTTCAGCTTTCCAGTTTAGCTTACAATCCTCGTCTTTTCTCCCATCCAAACATTAACTGCAAGCATGAACAAAGACAGCACAGTGTGCCACCTGCTTTAGGTTAATGGAATACAGGAATATCTATCCACACTCAAGAACATGATTGCTTCAGACTTTCCTTTATTTTTGGGGATCATGCATCTCAAAGTTTTAACACTCTGCACAAAAAACAAACAAACTTGAACAAAAATCAACAACCCAAAGGAAGTATTTAACAATATACATTTTTAGCAAAGTAATTAAATTTTTCTCTCTGTCTCTATGAACATACATGTTAACTGTGGGCCAATTTCAGAGACATTGGGCCAGTGGTGGGATTCAAAAACTTTTAACACCGGTTCAGTGGGCGTGGCTTGGTGGGCACGCTTTGCCCCCGTGCACGCACTTTGCATGCACGTGTGAGCCAAACACGCACTTTGTGCAGGCGCAGAGGCATTTCAACTTACCTCCTGCAAGCCTGCACTCTCCCAGTTGCTTCAGCAGCTGCCGCACAGCACTCTGGTGTGCAGCGAAAAGCTGCACTTCAAATTCAGAGGTGAGTATGGGAGACCGGGCAGGTGGGTGGGCCCAACAGCAGTGTGGCAGAGAGAACCGGTTCGGTCTCCGCTGCTCATCATTGCTACTGGCTCTGTAGAACCGGGCCGAACCGGTAGCATACCACCACTGCATTGGGCAGCATTACAGAATTCCTTCACAGTTGATTTTTTTCCAAATTAAGCTGCCAAACTGCAGTCTTTGTGTTTTGAAATTTATCATGCTCAACTACAGTCTTTAATCATTTAATACTTTCCAGTAGTCAGATTGCTAGATGAAATCCACGTTGTTTAGAACTTTGAAATCCTCACTTGTAGGAATTATTTTTAGACATTGATATTCAACCACATCTGCTTTTAATCCATCCAGTAATATTCACTTATCTGAAACGATCCTGTGTGATACTTGATAGAAAACAATGAATTCTTTTTATATCAAGGTATATTCAACATTGGTGGTTGTGACATTTTGGCTCACCAACATGTGGAAATTTGCAAATGCTTCAACAAATTTAACCTATTATTTTTAAAATAACCTGATATCATTTTCAGCCTACCTGACCTAGTTTATCTCACATCGTTGAAGCTGTCAAAAAATATACAATGTAACCCCATTTTTCATGAAGGTGGATTGTCATCTCTAACTATTTTGGAAAGTGTTTCAGAAATAATGTTTTGAATTAATCTGTTTAAATCAACAATATCCAAACATTTTCTATTTCTGAAACAAGATGTTTCCTTGC